TCCAAAGACGTATATGGAACCTGAACAGCTTATGTATTCAAATGCTTGTCGTTGAGGAGCGTGGGGCCTCCATGTCCCTGAGGATGGCTGTGGTACTTTTCAGTACAGCCCTGGTCTTTGCAAGTGTGACTTCTTGGTTCCAGAGTAAAACCCTCAACCTATCAGCACAGCTCCTTCATCCTGCTGGCATAGACTTTCTAGCTTTCACCGCTGACCTTTGGGCTTTACCAGCATAGATCCATGAAACAGACTGGTGTGAGTCTTTCTTGTGGGCTCTAGACCTCCAGTTGGACTCATGGGAGGCATTGTCATGAGGTCTGGGTTTTCATCCGGACTCATGTGGGACACTGCTGTGGGATTTAGGCCCTTGACTAAATATTCTATTTTTTGGTGTTGAGGATAGATTTCTTGCATTTTCTTGTGTTTAACTCCCAGTGACCATTATAAAAATATTATAAACTCCATGTCCTGATTCTTTTTTTTTTAAATTTTATTGAAGGAGAAAAAAGAAAAAAAAAGGGTACAAGTTATACAGAATTTCAGAAAAAATAAACAGTAGGAAATCACTAGTTAATTACATATTGTCATCTTAGAAATTGTTGAAGTTACAAAATTAAAGCATATAGAGGGGTCTTTCAAACAGTGAGACTGCAAAGAGTTTTGTTCAATGATCCAACAAAACTCAATAATATGGTTATCTATCTTATACACTTAAATATGTATGCAGTTATATCTTTTAGAGAACTTTCTTTTCCTTTCTTTTGTACAATGACAATTACACATTTTGGGTTTTATTACTCCCACAGTTCTTATTACTTTTGTTTTTTGAAGAAAGTAAAACCAAATGTGACATACCAGGACAGAGTCAGGCAAATCAAAAGGATGGACATAATACATAATGTAAAAAAAAAAATACAAGGTGATCAACAATGGTTACCATAATGCCTCTTGTTATCTTAAAAAGAATTGCCTATATCATCATTATAATAAAATTGAACAAAACAGTAAAGAATAAGACCAATAAAACCAAAACACTGGAGACATTACAGGACTTCAAAGAAGATAATAGTCAACCAGAATGGGCGTCACAATGAATCTTACTGTCTTCATAGTTTTTGCCTATACTTTCAAACTTGGTACTATCAAGCATAACAGAATAGAGGAACATCAGTCAAAACAAGATGGTGAGAGCAATACAGAGTTTCAAATCAAGTTAATAGGAAATCAAAATGGGTTACTGTAATATATCCTGCTATTTTTTGTTTTTCCCTTAATTAAAAGGATAAAAATGAAAAAGTAGATAATAAAAAAGAGATTGAGATAAAAAAGAGGGCACAACAACAAAACAGCGCAAGTCAAAACATATCCATTTAAGCAAAATACTGTTTCACCACAAGATAATCTTGACATAATAGTAGCACCATACTGTCTCTTCCCTTAAAATCTTTGGGTATAACTTCATATACTGTAGCATCAAACATATCAAGACAATGTAAAACCGTTCAAGAGAATGACAGTATTACAGGGTATTTAGAATCAACTAACAGAAAATGAACAATGGTTTCTCTATAATCTCCTTGTCTATAAAAGTTTTTGTTTATGTTATTACATATAATAAAATCCAATTAAGATACAACATGTTAAAACCGATGGAGACAGAAGAACAAAAGCTTGATGGGCCTTCAAAACAAGAGGATATTAAATCAGCACTAGCTATTATGATGTCTTGTTTTCTCCAAAATGGCTGTTCCTACCATCCAACCTTCTCTGCCTCATTTCTGTTGAGCTCTTTTTCTGTCATTAGTTGTCAGTTTGTGCTCTTCATTTTGCTTTCTGCTCCATTCATTGTGGCCTCTCTGCCACTGTTTCTGGAATCTTGGTATTTTTCATTTTTAGAATATCCTGCAGTAATCTCTGTAGAGTTGAATTGGTGGTTGCAAATTTCCCTAGTTCCTCTTTATCCTGGAAGCACCTTGTTTTTCCATCAGTTTCTAGGGACAGTTGTGCAGGATATATCAATCTTGGCTGGAGGTTGTTATCTTTCAAAGCTTGAATTATTTTCCCCCACGCTCTTCGTGATTTAATGGTTTGTGCCGAGAAGTCTGCTGTAATTCTGATGGGTGTTCCCTTGTAAGTGATCTGTTTCTTGTCTTTGTTGGCTTTTAATATTCTGTTCTTATATTGGATTTCTGGAATTTTGATTATTATATACCTGGGTGTAGTTCTGTTTGGGTTGTAGGTGGCTGGGGTCCTGTATGCCTCATACATCTGAGTATCTTTACCTTTTGCTAAATTAGGGAAATTCTCCTGGATTATTTCTGTGAATAGTTTTTGTAGGTCATTTGCTTGAGTCCCTACTTCTTCTTTTATGTTCTTAATTCTTAAGGTATAGATCCTCTTGTCATCTTCTAATCTCTGTATTATTGCTGTTTGTTTTCTTGTTATTTTTAAGAAGTTTTTCATTTCATGCTCCCACCTTACAAATCTGTCCTCCAGTTCTGATAATCTATCCATAGTTTCTTTCAAGCTGTTACGCCAGCTTTCAATAGAGTTTTTAGTTTCCTGGTAATCTCTTTGAACCTGCTTCATGTATTCTATGTTTTCTCTATTTTCTCCATCTAACAATTCTCCCCTTTTTTTCTGTTCTTCCATTCCACCATCTGTTTTTTCTTGGGTGGTGCTTAGTATTTCTCTAACTATTCTACTTATTTCTTGCTTTATTTCATTAAATACTTCATTTTTGAACTCGTCTATGAGGCTCTGTAGATACCGCTTTATGTCTATAGGTGCCGTTTTTGATATTGCATGTTTTCTGTCTTCATTCTCTTTTGCATTTACCTTTCCTGCATCAGTGTTCTCAGGATTGGGGACTGAGGACCCTTTCTTGTTTCTCCCTTTTCCCATCCTTTTTGTTCCTTCCATACAAGTGTATGTAGAAGGCCCAGGTTTTTTTTTTTTTTTTCTCTTTGTCTGTTATAGTTTGTTTGAATCTGCTGGCTAGGTGTTCCCACCCACTGCAATGTACTAGGGAGACACAGATCTGGGCAGCCATTGCTGGGCCCGCCCCTCCAGGTCAACCTACTGAATGCTTCACTGCTAGGGTGCACCTCCAGACACAGGGACCTGATTTGGGCTAGCCTACTGGATCTTAGTCCGTGCCATAACCAAGCCAAGCGCTCCCCACTATCCTGCTTGAGAGGGGAATATGCGACTAAAGTCACTGCAGGGCCCTGTTCCGGCTAGTCTGCTCGTTCCCAAAATGTCCTCTGTTGGAGCCTCCTAGTCTATGAAAGGGTCCCCATTTCTCTCACTCACCGCAGGTCGATGCAGGCTCCCTGCTAGTCCCGCTCTCAATGCCATTTGGTCCGATTCCAGCTCTCAGAGCTTTTGCACGTCTCTCTCCCTGCCATGCAGATTGGGACGCAGTATCGGCAGCAGGAAATTCAAATCGTGGCTTCCAATGGCGCAGGATCCAGCTTCCGCACTGAGATTTTATCTGTTCCTGTTATAGCATCAGGATTGCATTTCCAGTTGGTTTCTCTCAGCTTAGTTCGTTCCTAGGTCAGCAGGGTACATCTTCCCTCACTTAGGACTCCTCGCACGGCACCGCTCCTGGATTCTAAACTGGTAATCTCAGAGAGCCTCTGTGGCTGCTGTTATTCGTCCACCATGTTCTCCAGGAAGTCCCCATGTCCTGATTCTAATTATTCTCTGCACAAACCCTGACTACAACAGGTATGAACCAAATTATACCAGGTTACTTTCCAACCCTGTAGCTCTGTGACATTTTAGTGGCTATAGTGGCACCTTATTATTATTATTATTATTTTAGTACTGGGGATCACTCATGACCTCAGACAGGTGCTTATACCACTGAGCTAAATCCTAGGCATGGCACTGTATTATTGGTGAATTTTACTTAAAAAGAAATCTACTTTCTGCATTCAATGTAGATGTTTTCTAAAATAGATACAAAAAGAATAAATAAATAAATGGGGCATGGTATAGCATGCCTATAATCCAATTAGTCTTGGTGACTGAAGAAGGAAAATCACAAGTTTGAGCCCAGACTGGGCCACCAGACTCTGTCTCAAAATTAAAATAATAATACAAGCTGGGTGTGGCGGCTCACACTTGTAATCCCAGTACCTGGCAAACTGAGGCAGATGATCATTACTAGTTCAAGACCAGCCTGGGCTACAAAATGAGCTCAAGGCCAGCCTGAACTGCATAGTGAGACTCTGTCTCAAAAAGACAAATAATAATAATAATAAATAAAATGAAATAAAATAATAATAATAAAACAAAAAGCCAAAGGAAGCCAGGTGTGCTGGTGAACACCTGTAATCCCAGCACTCAGGAGGCTGAGGTAGGAGAGCTGTTGTGAATTTGAGACCAACCTGGGTTACAAAGTGAACTCAAGGCCAGGCTGAACTGCATAGTGAGACCCGGTCTCAAAAAGACAAGAAAGGAAGGAAGGAAGGAAGGAAGAAAGAAAGAAAGAAAGAAAGGAAGGAAGGAAAGAAGGAAGGAAGGAAGGAAGGAAGGAAGGAAGGAAGGAAGGAAGGAAGGAAGGAAGGAAGGAAGAGAAAGAAAGAAAGAAAGAAAAACAAGGCCAAAGGGATAACTCAGTCACAAGGCCCTGGGTTCAATGCCTGGCACAACAAAATAAAACTAAAGTGCATGAGTTCTAAAGCTGTTTTTTCCAAAGGCAATGTATTACTAGTGTTACTTTAATACTTACTTTTTAAATGATTATTATGTCAATGTTATTTGCATTTCTAAATGCATGATAGCATCAGTTCTTCCACATGTATTCTCAGTAACAGTGACAGGCCCAGAAGGGATAGATAAGCTTTTAAAATACGTTGTTAAACAAAGTTTACATACTATCTAACTAGATTCGGAAACTGCATTATGATGAAACCAGACATGGTGGCCCACGCCTGTAATGCCGGCACTGGAAAGACTGAAGCAGGATTATCACAAGTTTGAGACCAGCTCGCTTCGGCAGCACATATACTAAAATTGGAAGGGTATAGAAAAAATTAGCATGGTCCCTGTACAAGGATGACACCCAAATTCATGAAGCATTCCATACTTTTGTGAATTGGCAGAAGTGGTGCTGTGTCTGGGAGGAGCACATCAAGATCAAGAAAAGGCAATTTGCATTCTGGGTAAACTGCAGAAAGTAGCCTGGGACCAGAAAGAGAGGCGCCTCCTGTGAGCAGATGGGCACACGGGCTGAGAATCAAGAAGACCCCTCATAAGCAAATGTCTGGTTCAGAGGACAGGCTGAGTTGATAGCAACTGAGATACAAAACCAACTGAGTGTATGCTTGTATTGTTTGCTTGACTTTACAAGACTGGGGACAGCAGTTTGAGCATCTATAAGCTTAACACAATACAGCAAATACGGGGGATTTCCTTCTGTCTTGTTTTTGAAATCCAATATTGTTCTCACTGTTTTGTTTTATTCCAATTTATTGTTTTGCTTTATTCAATGTTCCAATCTAATTGATTTTATTCTGTTTTGTTTATTTGATTTTACTAGTCTGATAGAAGGGACTATTGTGAAGATAACAAGACATACAATGGTAGTCATTTTTAATTCCTACAATCCTGCTTCAATGTTCTGTACTTCTTTCACTGTTTTGTTTTGATGGGCTTTATTCTGCTTTATTTCATTATCTTTAAAGTAACATAAATAAAAATTTAACAAACAGGTTGAGACCAATCTAGATTCCATAGTGAGACCCTATCTCAAAAAAAAAAAAAAAAGATTAAAAAAGAAATTGTATGATAGTTAATGTGCCCTATTTCTTCTGAGTTTTAGATAATAATGTGCTATTATTCACTTATGGAACAGTAGAACAAGCATGGAGTCTACTCCAAACTTCTTTTATTAATTACTTTGGTCATTCATTTAAAATTGTATTGAGGGCTCTTATGTTCCACACACTCTTCTAGTCCTTAAATGTATCTCAGTGAACAAAACAGATAAAAACCCTGAGCTCTTGGTAATAGCATTCTAATATGGGAAGGCTGACCATAGACAGACAACATTTATAGTCTGATAACTAATGTTAAGAAACTGGACAACATTGGTGAGGGACTCTCTCTTAGTTACTTTTCTTGTTGCTGAGACAAAATACCCAAAGCACAAAGTTAAAAGGGGAAATGTTTATTCAACTCACAGTTTGTAGAAGTTTCATCATCAGACATCACAGAGGAAAAACAGTTCATGGTGAGCAGAAGGTAGCAAAGCAACAAGAAAAGACAGTAGAAGCAACACAGAGGGAGAGAGAACAATTCTCTTTCTGTCCCTTATGATGTATACAGACTACCTGCCCTAGAGCAGGTGGAGCACTCAAACCCTTAACCCCAGCCTTGGACCGTAAATCAGTCTCAAACTCTAGATTCAACCCTCTCCAAAAAAACCCCCCAAACCCATGATAGAATGCGTCTTTGGGAAGACATCTAGCCATGAACTATGACAGACTCAAACCCTGTGCACTCTTGATCATTCTCTTCAGTCTTCTGTTAAGAGCACATGTATGTGCCACCACCTCCAGCTCTGCAGGATCTGTGCTAGAGATGTGACTTCTTTAAAGAACTTCAGTCCTAAATGGGTTATTGTATACAATTGTGCCTTTTTTTTGTTTGTTTTTGGTATGCTGAGCAATTTTATCTAAAAAAAATTCAAAGACCTTAAAGGCAGCTCAAGATCAAGGTCCTACTGTGTCTTGCTCCTCTTCCTACAAATGCAGTGAAAGCCTCTCTCTGGGACCCGCCCACCTTATCTGCATTAAGGCCAGGCTGCAGAAAGGAATAGCAGTATCTCCTGTTGCTACCATAGGATATCAATATCTTTTCGGAAAAGAACAATGAGGAATATTCTCACACCCGCAACAGACTTTCATAACAGCATAACACCGACCCTTAAGTTCAAATTTCAGGGAAAATTAGTTAGCAAACTAGTTTGTTTTCAGGGCCATTCTTTCCTCTATATAATCATTTTTAACTCCTCAAAATTATCTATATTTGCCTATTAACAAAAGGTATATATGCTGGACTGAGGATTCATCATGCAGTATTATGGAATTATCTCTGTGCATGTGAAAAATGTGTATGTTTTTTTCTCTTATTTAATCTTTGTCAGTTTCAGTGAACATTTCTAGGACAGAATGGAAATTTTCTTTCTCTTCCCTAACTGCTAAAAATAATTAAGTGTATTCCATAATACCAAATATTTACTGAGCAACTGTTTACTAGGTTTTCCAAACACTATTGGTTCCTGAGATAAATTTAGATGGCATATCATCATTTGAAAATTTTAATTTATTTGGTTTGTATTAAATTATAATTATGAAATTATATCTTTGAAAGAAGTTAGATTTTTGTTTTTAAAATAAACCGATTTGGAAAAAAATGTTACAGTACAGTTGTTTTTCTGATGGTTACTGTTGGGTTTAAATTTTTACTCTGAGTCATATAAAGTCTCTCATTTGGATGCCTTCCACTTCCCAGTTTGTTTGTTTGTTTTCTTCACTCTTTGTGTATTCTTTTACCATCATTATCCTCCTTGTCATCCACAAGCACAAATCTGCAAAGATGGTGCAATGTGTGATTACTTTTAAATTGCTCTTCACAGCCCACTCCTGTAATTCCCAACTATTCTGCAGGTTTAGGCGGTAGGATCAGAAGTTCCAGGACACCTTCAGCAATTTAGAAACTGTCTCAAAATAGAATAGGTCAGAAATGTAGCTCAGTAGTAGAGCATTTGCCCAGCATGCTTGAGCTCCTGAGTTCAGTCCTGAGGACTGTAATAAGTAAATAAATAAATTTTTAAAAAATATGTGGCTAAGTTTGCATTCAAGGGAAAAGGAGATTGGGTTTGCATTACCTCCTCATATTTGTCATTTTGTTTTGAGGAATATTATCATGTTGTCCAGACTGGTCTGAAATTTGTGAGTTCGAGCAATCTTTTTGCCTTAGCCCACTGAGTAGCTGGAACTACAGGCATGCACCACCACACGTGGCAGTCTCTAAATTTTTCAAGTATTTTTTTTATTATGAAATGAACATCAAGACATAATCCAGGGAACTGGCTATGGTGGCACAAGCCTATAAATAACAGCATTTGGAAGGCTGAAGCCGGAGAATCACTGAGAGTTTGAGGTCAACCTGGCCTACATAGCAAAAGCAAGGTCAGTCTAGACTACACAGTGAGATGGTGTCTTAAAAATACCTTAAAAGAAAAAAACACTTGACATAATATTCAGTACCAATTACAAACTTACATCATATGTTTTGTATATTTGTAACCCAAAAGATCGTAGGATTCAAAAATGTCATTTGATCCAACATGTGTTTTTCCTCAGGGCTTATTCTAAATCCCATTATATGTATCAGAAATAATTATCTAATGAAATATCTGATATCCTAAGAAGTGTTCAGATTTGAATTGAAGGTGATAATCTCCAGCCATCTTTGTCTAAAAGCCAGCACAGTGAAATCTGTAACTCAGTTATGTAGGGTATTTCTGCCAATTTTGTATCTCTTAAAATATTGGTTAGTAATGTAAATAAAATTGCCATGATTTTCTTCATTTGCTTTTAGTTTCACCTACATAATTTTACAATTTAAAAATTTGATTAATTAAAACAGACATGAGATATAAAACCAAAATTAATTTTATTTCATTTAGCATCTATTGATCATACTTTGAGCTGCAACCTCCTGTAAAGTCCTAAATACCTAGAAAAGAGTTAGGAAATGACAACAGAGCTGTTAATAGATGTGGATTTTATTTTTCCTCATTACATTTCCTGGAAAGTTTGTGGAGTGTTAGGCGCCACAGGCTTGTCTTTTAAGAATTTCCCCCTCCTACTATTATTGAAGCAACACAAAAAGAATTTGAAATGCCAGGTTTTTTGCGGCATATTCATAGAATCCAGTACTGTGTGGATTCTAGATGTGACTTTTATCTCTATCTCTCTCTGTCTCTCTGTCTCTGTCTCTCTCTCTTGTTTCTCTGTCTCTGCAGATCTCTGTTTCTCTCTGTCTGTCTCTGTCTTTTGTTGGGCTGATGTTGAACTGAGGACCTTTGTACCAAGCTACATCTTCAACTTTTATTATTATCATCTTTTTTATCTTAAGATATGGTTTTGCTAAATCAGTAAGTTACCAGACTGAGCTCAAACTTGTGATCCTTCTGCCCGACTCTCAGAGTACTAGGACACAACTTCTTTTTATGGAGTCGAACATGTATTATCTAGTTATATGAAATATCTAGAATAGATAATTTCATTGGGACAGGAAGTAGATTAGAGGCTACAAGGGACGGGTGCAAGGGTAGTTTCTATTTGGGATAACAAAAATGGGAAAAAGTAGTGATGATTGTATAACATTGTGAATATAATTAATGCCACTAAATTGTATATTTGAAAATGATAAAAGTATCAACTTTGGTGTTATATGTATGCATCACATGAAGCAAATAATGTAATATATCAAGAATCATCAAAGAGTACTCTTTATTTTATTTTTTTGGTACTGGGAATCAAACTCAGGACCTGGCACTTGCCAGGCAGTCATTGTACCACTGAGATAAATTTCCAGCCCTAATTGTGCACTTTAAATGAGTAAACAGATGTGAACTTTTTTCAATAAGGCTGTTTTAAAATAACGATTAAGCTGGGTTTGGTTGGTGTATATCTGTAATTCCAGCACTTTAGAGGCTGAACCAAAATTGTCTCGAGTTTGAGTTCTCAAAAACAATGATCATAACAAATTCATTTCTAGCATTTCTAATACAAAAATTTGAAATGTGCCAAAGTCCATACCATTTTGAGCACTAATATGATGCAGCAAATAATTGTAAAGCTAGTCTTGTGGGACAATTGCAGTCAAACTATAGGTGTGCTAAAAGTTTTGTGAAAAGTTACTTTCAGGTACCCAAAGCATAAATGACTTTTATGTATATATTTGAGTCCCATTCCCAAGATAGCTCATTGCATATATGCAAATATTCCAAAATTAGAAAAAAGTCCAAAGTCTGGCACATTTCTGGCCCCAAACATTGTGAATGGGTAATATTTAC